CTCTATCTATCTTTCTCAACTCAACGTGATAAATATATATTTCGAAACAATGACCAAGACCTCAACAGATCAACAAAATCTCGTGACTCTGGTTAATTGGATAGGGAAGTCTTGCGAGTAGACCTGATGCAATATTATGGTGATTTTTTTATCTGTTTGTCTGCCTGTCCCCAAAAATTCCCCGATTACAAACTAAGAAATACGGGTGACGGCACAGGCAATGACGTCACTACCCTTGAAGTCCGGTTACCACAGAAAAACGCGAAAAAAATATGGAAATTCCCACGAGTTTATTTATTTGTTTGTGTTTAAAGTCAGAGATGAGGGTCAAGTCTCAGGGTATATTTGTCGCCATCTTGTTTGTTTTGTATTGTGATGGTTGATGATAATAATAATAATAACAGTATAATGACTTCCTCTTCACCGTACCAGCTTGCTCCATCTTGACACCAGGAAAAACTGCTTCACGAAACTACTCGACCCTAGTGAGCACTGATTCAGAACCAGTTTTCTAATCTCTGCTAACACTGGATAAACCTCCCAAACGGCTAGTAAGCTGAGGAGTGGTGAAGATGATAAAAATAGCAACCATATTTGTTTCTTGTAAGGGCTGTAACTACACTCGGTCTGCATCCAGGCTAGATATGAGTAATGAATTGTATGATCCTCCAAGGTTGCCTATTACCTGTAACCCTGTACTGAGGGTTGTTACTCCGAACCAAGATGGGGATTTACTTACTCACCTGATGAAAAACTGATTGATGCACAGACCCAACATTGGTTAAAATTCATAACGAAACTGTTGAGGTGGATAGAGAAAAGCCCCTTCTTTCTCCAAGGACGGTGTTCTGCTTAGGTTCTATAGACCAATTATTATGTTGATTGATGACACCTGGGTCGAGATGCATCAGGTAGTATTGCTAATGTTAGGAAGACTGGTGGTGGTCGTTTGTGAGGGGTTTGCTGGACACCTCTGCATTAATAAGACCTACTGTAAATTGTTGCAGGTTTTCTTTTGGCCTGGAATGAAAGGGATGTATCAGTTCATAAACTCTTGCCAAATAACAGGAAAGCCTTCTCAGCCTATTCCCCCTTATCCTTTACACCCCATTCTGTTTTCCACAGCACCTTTTCAGAATATAAATGACGATGGGCCTGTTGATAAAACTAAAAGATAACTAATACATCAACAATTGTCTCTCTACCAGGTATCCAGAGGCTTTCCGGTTAAAGAACATCTCTGCTACAACTATCATTAAACATTTAGTGTACATATTGACTTCTTTTGCCATACCTTAGAAGTTGATAGAGGCACCAACTTCACCACTGACTTCTTCAAAAACGTCCTCAGAGCTGGGCATAAAGCAGACCCTATCCACCGCGTATCACCCGGAGTTACAGGGAGGCCTTAGGCGGTGGCATCAGATGGTAAGTCATGACCTGTAAGTATTATTGTGTACACCAGGAATACTGGGGTGAAGGTTTGGATTATGTCTCGTTTGGTAGAAGAGAAACCCCTCAGGATTCTCTTGGTGACACGTCTTTTGAGTTGCTGTTTGGTAGGAAGGTTAGAGGGCTTTTAAAACTCCCGTCACAAAGAGATGACTTAACCCTATTTCTGATCATACTACCAGTGTCAGATTACCTTAAAACATCAAACCACCGTGAGTAGAGTAGATTAACTTGTAAAGGAGAGCCTGTTAATATCTGACGAAGATGAAACGCTGTTCTAATGCCAAGATTAGAGAATTCAGTGTTGGAGACAGTCCTAATCTTAACTTATTACCCTATTCCTGCCCCTCCTCCCCCCACATGACGGCAAAATACCATGACCTTTACGTAGTGCAGAAGAAAATGAATAAAGTTAACTATATAAACTCTACCCCAGAACGTCAGAAGGCCACCCAGCTAACCCACTTAAACCTTATCTAACTAGAACATGCCGAGGACTCCCCGAGACGACCATATAACAAATGCTGTAGATGCTAAAGACCCAACGACTCGTGGTGTCGTTAACTCGGAAAATATAAACTTAGCGTCGTACTGGAGACCTCTGACACCAAATCCAAGATGTGGCTTCCCTTATTAAAAGTAAGCCTATAGTATTTTGACATCCTTGGCCACCGTGCAATAATAAAACCTGTTGAACTAACACCTAGAACCCTTCCTATATACCAGGCACTCTACAGACTCCATCTGAAGAAACGGCAGCAGATGAGACGGTGGACTGCTTGCTGAAGAATGGCCTGGCAGTTCCAAGCGGCTCCCCATTACCTTCTTGTGACCAACTTCGCCTATGCACAGACTACCGCCAAGGTAACTCGGTGACCGTTCCAGATTCCTAACCCATAACAAGAATAGATAATTTAATTGATTCAGAAGGTCGATCTAAATTCATTTCAAAACTCGACCTAAGTTATCAAGACCCAGTCAATCTGCATTCATAACTCCTTTTGGCCTGTATCACTTTCTAGTTCTGCCTTATAGGATGAGGAATGGTTCAGCCACCTTCCATAGACTTGTGGTTTACCTCTTGCAAGACTTCCAAGGTGTTCATGTGTACTTGGTTGATATCCTGCACCGACGTCCCCCACTAAAATTGACCTTCCCTTCATCCTTCAAACCGACACTAGTGACCGTGCTCCAGGGTCCTATTCCGTTGACTATGACTGAAAAACTCTACAGTACCATTGAAAAGGATTTACTCGGCATCTCTGTAATAAAAACAAATGGAGTCCCCTATATGGCATTCAACCCCTTACCGAATTATGTAGATCACAGCCCTTTAACTTTTTAGATCGGAACGAGTTTTTAGACACGAGTTTCCTGCTTTAGTCCATGGCCGCAACCTTACGACACAAGACTTACCAAAGGAATGAATAACTTGTTAGCCATTTTTGTTGTTGGGTAATATTCTGGGGTTCTGATAAATAATGAGTTCTGTTTTGATAATTACATTGTTTCACTTGTTATTTAATGTAGTTAATTTACTAAACCGATGCTTAATAAAAATGTTATTAAATTAGTTTACGAGATTATCTTCTAAATTCTTTCGTAACTTAACTTTGTCGGTGATGCAAGAGTTGCCTGTTACATTAACGTATTTCAACCTGGATTAATCACTGTAATTTTATTTGTTAACTTTGTGTGTTCCTTACTTGCTACATCAACGTATATTTACTGGTTAACTTTGCCTTTCCTTAACGTTTTGGATAAGGAAAAAAACACTAGTGATAAAGAATAATAATTTAGAGAGTTGAAAAGACGGAAAAGAAAGTCAAAGGGTAGAGTGAACAATAATAATAGGAAAATAACACCTAGGCTTTGACGTCATATCCTGCGTGTGCTAATCCGTGATGTGGCTACGGATTACACGTGTAGACGGAGACGTTTAGACAGATAGACAGCGAGAGAGAGAGATAGAGAGAGCTGGGACGGTCCTTAAAGTGAGAAACCGCAGCTGGGTCTGTCTTTTAAAGTGAGTTAAGGTGTGAGAGTTATAGCACATGCATGTCATTGTGTGCAGAGGAGAGTGTGTGAGTGTGTGTGTGTGTGTGTGCGCTTCAAGCCGTGTACACTCGCTAAAAAAAATATTCCACACCCTTGTCATATTGTATCGTGCCCAATACTATCTAGTGGGTGTGTTGAAATAACGTGCGTGCTTACTTGAATAAAAAAACAAACGCACCCTAAAAAGTAATAAAAACACCCCCACACACTCGAACTAAATTATCCTCATGTCATTGCCTTCTATATACCGAAAACAATCCTTTAAACACTAAGATGGTACCAACTTAGTAATGGAGTCACGCGCATCAGCCCTGCCTTCCTTAACCCGCGTTGCTGAGTTTGATGTTTCTTATACAAACAAATCCTCTCGCTACCACACCACACCATACTACTGCTTGCATGACATGACTTTCTTTATATATATGACATGACTTTCTTTATATACATGACATGACTTTCTTTATATACATGACATGACTTTCTTTATAAACATGACATGATTTACATTATATACATGACATGACTTTCTTTATATACATGACATGACTTTCTTTATATACATGACATGACTTTCTTTATATACATGACATGACTTTCTTTATATACATGACATGACTTTCTTTATATACATGACATGACTTTCTTTATATACATGACATGACTTACTTTATATACATGACATGACTTTCTTTATATACATGACATGACTTTCTTTATATACATGACATGACTTTCTTTATATACATGACATGACTTTCTTTATATACATGACATGACTTTCTTTATATACATGACATGATTTACTTTATATACATGATGACCATACAAGCAACGCAACCGTGAAAATTTAATGTCAATTAATGAAACAATAGACCCCCCTTAGATCCTAAAGAAAGAAAACGACCCCTTATATTCTAAATACCAAAAACGACCCCCTTATATACTAAATACCGAAAACAATGACCCCCTTATATTCTAAATACCGAAAACAACGGCCCCCTTATATACTAAATACCGAAAACAACGACCCCTTATATACTAAATACCGAAAAC